TGTGGTTTAAATGTATTAGCTTGAAATGTATAAATATAGCTTTTAACTTTGGCAACATGTAATTTGATTTTTGGTTTTACATGTCATCTTGTAATTGTGTTTTTCACTAAAGCCCAGTTTTCTGTTGTTTTCTTTACAGATCCCGTGTTTTAATGGAGAGAAAGACTCGGGATCCAGTTCCAGTGTGTCCGTCTCCATGAACGGTGGGAGGAGAAACTGCTGAAGCTCTTCTCACGGTTACCAGAGTGTCTTAACATGAATACAATCACTTAGCCTTGTTCAATGTCAGTCCAAATCAGATTTTGTGCGTATCTGATCTATTTGGTAAATGTAAACTACAATAAAATGTTACAAACGTTTCACAGACCAGTTTTTAAGATATTCCAGACTAAAATACATGTTTGAGTTTTACTTGAAAGAAAACTAGCACTGACGTCACATTTCTAAAACATGTCTGTGTCGTTATAGTATCTCGAGTGATACACACCAGTAATGTTTTATCAAAGACTCTTTTAAAAAGCTAGTCCTTGAACTAAGGGCTAATCCTGGCTTAATCTCAAACCCTGTCTGTCTGTTGCCAGATTAATAGATAGACTATAGCGTTTTAATAGATTAATAGAGTAAGATTAATATATTCAAAAATACACTGCTTTTGACAATCACTTTTTTTATTTTTAATATTTTCATATATATATATATATAAGTATATGTATATATATATGTGTGTTATATATATATATATATTATATATATATATATATATAATATATATATTATGTATATGTATATAATATATATATATTATATATTATATATATATATATTACATTTTATTCAGTGTCGGTAGTGGGGCATATTACATTAAATAAACCTGTTGCTACTGTACCTGTAAAAAACTGCTGTTTATTTAAGTTGTATATTTTTTCTATTGTATTTGTTGGTATTGTTTGTTGTTTGCTTCTTTGTTCCTATTTTAAACATCTAAAATAAAATTGTCCGCTTTGCTTTAATACCGAAGTGTGTGTTTGTAATGATTGCAGTCTGCTTTAATGGACTCCAGAACAGAAACGGTCGTTCACTGTCATTATAAAGATGAAACCAGGACATATTAATAAAACTCAGATTGTAATCAAAGCATTAGTCTCAGCTTTATGAAAGTTAGAGGAGTTGACTTCTAATGATGGGACAAGTTAGCTATACTTAGAAAGCCATTGTTAGCTATGTGTGTTAGCAAACTTTGACTCGGCTAATTGCTTTGACATTTCCACTTTGATATTATACATTTTGACTACATATGATCCACTTTCAATAAAGATTAATGTTGCAATGGGTGAAATGCTCCTTTAATATGAACTATTTGATAAAAACACCCATTCTTCCTGTTGATGCTTCACGTCTTATTGCCCGATCTACTATTGTATCTTTAGGCTGGCCTTAATGGTTGAGTAGCTTAAAAAAACTTATTTCTGTACACCCTCACACAGGGTGTGTGTGTGTATGTGAGAGATTATGTATGAAAGTTTTATGAACACTTCTGTTTTGACCTCAGATGTTTCTGGCTTCTCGCTAGAATTTGAAAGTAAAAAACATACTTTAATATTCCTATTGGAAGTCTGAATCCTAAAGGTTCACATAATTCTGTGCGCAAGGATACTTCATGTATACAAATATATTTTTAAAAAAATGTAGCATTGATGAAGAAATAATGTTTAAAGTATATGAAAAGGGGCTTCCAAATATGTAAGTGTCGTGAAAGAGAAAAACTCTCTCACACACAACTGAAACGCACTCACGCACGCACAGCCGAAAGTGTTTTTTTTGGGGGGGGAGTGGTTTTGCGTTTGAGGGGTGAGGCTTTGGAAGAGAGGGAGTGGTTTGTTACATAGGGTTTGTCAGAGCGGCTCTGGGATTTGTTAAGAAGCGCTTGGAAGGCGTGGTTTGGTTATAAGGTAGAAACGCCGACGTTCCTCCTTACTAAGCTTACTAGTGAGCACGAGCAATTAGGCAGTCCGTTTTATGAAACCAACTTAAAACACACGACACCCAGCTGCATTAAATTTGGGAGATTCCGCATTGTTGTGTTAAATATGAAGTTAATTTCCACTGTCTTCGGGTTTTTTTACTTCGTGTTGGTTTCAGGTAAGCAGAGTAGTAACTGTAAAATGAATGTAAAGAATGTCAGTTCATCGCTCATTATTCTAAAGCATTGATTGTCATCCTAAACACTTTCTTTCTGTTTAACAGTCGATGCTTCACTTGCTGAAGGGTCGAAGATCGAGGCGAACCATGGAGAAAACGTCGCACTGGCATTCCCGATGGATAAAGCGGAAGAAGCCGACAGATTGAGGATCATTTTTGAAGAAGAAACTACAAAGAAAATGTTTTTGGTCGCACAGAAGTGTGCTCCTCATGAAGGATGTGATAATGTGGACACACCTGGAGTCTCACTGATATTTGAGATAGGATGTTTGTCTGTAATCATTCAGAAAGTGAACATCTCCAGATCTGGACTCTATATCGCACAAGCTTGCTTTGGAAAGGACGTGATTGAGGTGATCGCCACACTTGCTGTCAACAGTGAGTATTGTTACTATCTATAATCTCTGTTCGCATGTAATATGTAGATGAATATACTCTCAAAAGTCTGGAAACATTCCTATTTTTTAATGTTTTTTAAAGGGGTCGTAATGGTAGCCTACATGCACTTTTATTGTACGTGTGTTGTCAGTGCTTGTACACTACCATCATATTATGATAAAATCCATCCAGTGTTTTTGTTTTAATCTCCTTATATGTAAGTTATTCCCCTGTCTCAAATCGAGCCGTTTCACCCAAGCGGCAACATTAGGGTGACCACCCGTCCCGCGTAGCGCGTGCGCGCACAGCGTTTGAAGCCCAATTCATGCGTCCCGCAAATTGAGACCGTGTCACGCATAATCAATGCTTGCTCAAGAAAAAAAAAAAGAAAGAAAAAAATCGGTCAGTCTATATCCTCGAGACCCAGGCAGCTAAACGTTGTGCCTGAACTCGTTCACGTTCATGAACTCGTTCATATTGTGGGTGAACTGAACGTATTGTTTTACTGCCTGTCCTGATTACTCTCGTTCATTCTGGTGTCTGTGAACGCACGTTCTCTCAGTTTAACTTCGTTCAATTGGGTGCCAGATTTCTATAGAGCCTTCCAGGCGAAAGCCCGGCTAAACCTCAACGTAAACAGGGCTTAATATGTAGCGAAAAAAAACACCCAATCTGGCAACACAAGCCACCAGTGTCGCACCGCGGCCGCCGTCGACAAAGGCGTCATATGATAATTTAAACGGATTTTATAACGAGGTCGGTGAAGATGGGAACAATCTTACATTTCTGTGCAAACTTTGAACTGAACTAGTTCATTTTAAAATGTGTGAACTAAACTTTGAACTAGTTCAGAAAGTGAGAACTTCCCCAAGACCACAGACATATCCCCAAGACTGGTTGCCACTCCCACGTGACCTGCTGACTAGGTTGATGTCAACTTTTTCATTGTTGTCATGACAGCACACCTTGTCGTTCCGTGAACCTCTGGAGTTGTGAGTTTAGACTTTTTTTCGACTTTTTTTAAAACTGTTCCTGTGGTGTTGAGGAACTATAATTCCTGTTAATCCTATAATTTTGTATTTTTATTTATTTAAAGTGAATTAATTGTAATGAAAAATAAATCAAATTAAATAGCTAAAGTAAATCGTAAGTGGAAGTGCATCTGTCAATTCATTGAATGTTCAAAATATTCATTTTATTTAGAAAAAAAAATACACATTGGTTGGCCTATTCATGAGAATATATCAGCAATTACAGATGTTTAGGGAATAGGGCATTATTAATGTATGTGCTAAGGTATGTGCTTTTTTTTTTTTTTTTTTTTTTTTTTACAATTATTCATGTACAAACAGTAAGGCAATAGTAACAATTCTAGATAGGGGTAAACCACTATCAGAGTCTTCCCGTGGGATGGGGGCACCGCCGCGCCAAGCAGTGTCCCACATTGTCCCTCAGAAACATACCCCTTGTCCCCCCTTGGGCTTATTAGCAGGTGGTCACCCTAGGCAACATCCCCGTCTCTCGCTTGAAATTTGTTAGAAAAGATTTATATTTTGAATAAATGCTGTTCTTTTGAACTTTTTATTCATCAATGAATCCTGAAAAAAGTTCCACAGGTTCCAAAAACATATTAATCAGCAAAACTGTTTCCAACACTGATAATAATGAATAGGCTAATCCTCGTATGAGCATGTTACCCCTTTTCTTTAACCGTTGTCATGTGTGTGTGTGTCCAGTAGGCTTCACACTTGGGTAACTGTTACTGAGTATATGTGTGTGTGAATCTTCCCTCAGTGTAGCTGATGATTCACACATTTGTTCACAGCACAGGAACTGAAACTAAATTCATTTACTCTTTGTTTGGATTTTTGGTCACAGGTAAAATAACACCACAGTAAAATAAATCTAGCAACTGTAACGATGTTGCAGCATCTACAATATAACATCAGTGTTTAGAGGAAGTGCAAGAAAGAAAAAATAAATAAATGAATATAGCTCCTACAACTCATGTGTGGACATTTCAGTAAATAAAAATCGAGGCGTCCATTAACAAGCGCCGTCCAGCCACATATTAATACATTTTAAAATATTTAAAGTTGAAATCCATTATTTTAAATGGTAATAATATTTCTTTGTCTTGTAAGAAATTACAGTCTGCTCCGATCAAGCTTCCACTCCAATATAGATTATATTGAAATATTCCTTCACTTGAAAGAGCTTATTTATCATAGAATCAATTCCTTACAATCTTAAACGTATCACAGAGTCACGTTTGTAGAGTGGGAAAGACAGTGGGTATTCAAGAACCATCTTGATTAGGGAGTTTCTGAGAGATATTATCACCTTTAAACATTTGACCGTATCACTCTAACACTTGTATCGTTCCCTTCGATTTACATTTAAAGACAGAGTTTGGAATAACAAAGACATAGACACGGAGGCACCACTTGTCTCGTTCTCTTCAATTTACATTTAAAGACAGAGTTTCAGCTCCACGCTGATAGAGAAGACGAATCTGTTTGTCTTGATTTACATTTAAGAGAAAGCTTAATTTACATGCTGAGGGGGAAAACAGATGTAATACTGTATAAAATGTTTGCGCTGGGATGAGTTCGAGGTTCATTCTGACGCCGGTGAACCCAAGGTGCTTCGTGTGCCTTGCCACTGCTATGCTGTAAATAAACTTCATTTTTGAGATCTTCGACGTCCACATCATTTTTTCTTACATTGGCGAGCCAGCCAGGAGGTTTCCAACAAAAAGCGGGGAAAAGGTAAGAAAAAAGCTGTTTTCTTTCATTTATGCTGTTTTGTCAGGAAACCCCTTGTTTTAAAAAAATCTAGAAAAGGAAAATTTAAGGACAGAAGAGAATTTGGTTTATTCAGTCTTAGCAGGAGGAGTTGTTAAGCCTATTCTGTACAATTTTGTTTAAGATTCTAACGGAACTGAATCAACCCGAAGATAGTGTGGTGACAGAGTTGTATTAGAATTGTTGTTTCTAAAGTAATTGAAACAAAGTGCTTAAGTGTTAAGTTTCTAAAGTAACTGAAACTTGGGATCGATCTCTTATAATTCTGTTGAGATTCTAAAGTAAGTGAATAAACCCGTCCCGAAGTAGTGTGGTGGCAGAATTATATTAGATTTGTTGTTTCTAAAGTAACTGAAACAAATGTGTATGTTTCTAACGTATTATGTTGGTGAAGTTGTTATAATTCTGAGGAAATTCTAAAGTAATTGAATCGACCCGACGCAGTGTGGTCACAGAATTATTTCACAACTATTGTGTGTTAGGAGTTGTTAAGCCTATTCTGTACGATTTTGTTTAAGATTCTAACGGAATTGAATCAGCCTGAAGCAGTGTGGCGGCAGAGTTGTGTTGGAATTGTTGTTTCTAAAGTAATTGAAACAAAGGGCTTAAGTGTAAAGTTTCTAAAGTAACTGAATTGGTGTTGGCCTCTTATAATTCTGTTAAGATTCTAAAGTAAGTGAATAAACCCGTGTGGTGGCAGAATTATATTTGAGTTGTTTCTAAAGTATCCGAAACAAAAGTGTATGCAGCCTACTTGAAACCGATTGTGAAGTCGTAATAATTCTGAAAAAATTCTAAAGTAATTGAATAGATCCGACGCAGTGTGGTCACAGAATTATTTCACAACGATTGTGTTTTGTATAGTAGATTAGTGAGACACCGTCTGACACCGTGGCTGTGTGAAATTTAAAACAAAAAACCCGAAGCAGTGTGGTTTTGCCCGACGTGTGGCAGTGTTTTAAATTTTATAAATATTGTTTAAGCCCAAAGTTCTGTGGATAAGTCAACTGTTTTAAGAAAATAACATAAAACCCGACGTAGTGTGGTTTTGTCCGACGTACTGTGACAGTGTTATTTTTTTTAAACTGTTTGTGCAGTGAAATTTATGGTTTAAAAAGACTGTGGCCATGGTTAAGTTAAGCCTCAGGTAGTGTGGCTATCTTGTTCATTTGCGTCCGAAGTACTGGAGCTGTGAATAATTATACGAATGGTAGTTATTTAAAATCAGACTTTGTGAATAACTATTAGATCACGAGATAGTCTAAAGCCAGATAAAACTTTTGAAAATGGAAGAAATTATTGTGAAATACATCGCTAAACATGGTTCTCAGGGAATGTTTGACGGAATAGAGAATATTGTTGATAAACCATATGAGTGGGCGATCTCTAAGTTTGAAAATGATCCCAAAATGCCTAAGAACAAAAATGGGAAAATTGCTAATGCACTTCAAGCTCTTTTTGCTTCATACAAAGTAACTAGGAGGAGAGTAGATGAGTTAGAGGCTGAAAATGAGCGACTCAGTGTTGGGGTGATTTCTACAAAAAATTACCTGGCTAGTGAAACGATATGGAAAGAAGAAAAGGTCAAGATGCAGAATGAGATCGCGCTTCTTAGAACTAACAATAGTATGCTCAAATCATCTGTGGAAATATTGTCCAAAAATTTGGAGGAAGCAAAGGCAGCTTGTCAGTTCATGATAAAGAGTGACACAACTGAGAAAAACCATAGTAACACATTGTTAGATGTCAGATTGTGTAACCCAGTTCCAGAAATGCCAGATTTGCAGGAAGATAGAGCTGAGGGTTGGGAAAAAGATTCTCTGTCATTCAGTAGCCAATACTCAGACTGTAGAGTCAGATTTCCCATGGCCCCAGTCCATACTACGACGACTATGCATGCTAGTGAAGGTAGAGAAGAGCCAATGACCTCTACCATAGTCCGAGGATTTAATCCAACTGAACTAGAAACTATGATCAAGAATATTGGTAAATTTGATCCTGCCAAACAAGATCCATTAGATTTTCTGAAAAACTTGGAGGAATATGCTGAAGTGTACAATTTAACAGATGGCGAGGTGTGTGTTGTGTTAAGAATGTGCTTGCCTGACACTTTGTCTGGAGCCTTAACTCAGAAAGTAAAGGACAGAAATGCTAATAAGTCAGAGAGGAAAAAGGCACTGCTTGAAGTCTTAGGTGTGATGTCAGTTAATTGGGATAGAATATCTGAGATGCGCATGAGGAAAGGGGAGCATCCAGCAGCTTTTTCAGAACGATTATTGGAGATGTTTAAAACTTTCAGTGGCAATCCTGATATTACTAAGAATGATGTCAGTTTCAAGACTGCCTTGATTAACAAATGTGACCCACTCACCCGGTCTGCTGTGACAATGCTTGTGACTCCACTCTCTGAATACACTGACATTATTGGTAAAATGACACAGTTTTACAACAATAATGCTAATAGTCAAATGAAAACGGTCAAATTTAGACATCCAGTTGCTGCCGTTGGCGGGAGAGAATGTTGGTCTAATGGTTTCCATCATAGACCAAGGATATTTGCAAGAATAAATTCAGAAGGTGTTGTTATTTGCTATGCATGTGGAAAAGCTGGTCACATTGCTAGACATTGTCAAGACAATGAGAGACCTCTACAAAGCTTTGTCTGTCATGCATGTGGAAAGGATGGTCACATTGCAAGGCACTGTTTGGAGAAAAGAAAGGAAGATCAGGAAGTTGTTTGTTTTGCTTGTGGACTGATGGGGCACAAGGCAAGAAGGTGTCACTTGTCACACAAAAGAAAGTTGAGCTATCATGGTTTGCTTAAGAAAATAGGCAATTTAGAAACCCAGTTGGCAATGTTGAAAGGAAATAAAGAAGCGATTCACACCTTGTCCAACGTATCACCGCATGAGCAACAGGACTGTAGCTCAGTCTCAAGCAGATGCTGATACAAATTAGAATTAGGTTTATGATAGTAACACGTTTTAGAAAAGGATTTACTATCAAAAGGGGGGTGATTCTTTATGCAGTTGTAATTTATAACAAATGTTTTAATGACATTATGTTTAGGAATATATATTTTTTTGTTTTAAATGTTACCAATGTTTGATGTTTTGAGATTAAATTTCTGTGACTTTGATGTTTAAATGTGAAAAGATGATTGTGGGGGAAACGGGGGGCAACCTCTTCTTTTGGTCATTGTTTCAGATATAAGCATCGAGATGTTTGCCTGAAACGTGTAACCTCCTGGAGAAAGATGACATGGTTGTTTGAAGGACGAGAAGGAAGTAGAACCAGTGGAGCCAGGGGATTCTGTCAAGAAAAGAACAGAATACAGAGATTTCCAGACCTGCAAGATCCAGAACTCCAGGCCTAAGAGACCTAGAAACCCTGAGACCCACCATGGGATAGATGGAACTAATGAAGAGGCACAGACTCGAACACACCAGTGATTGCGTCTTCTAGAAGAACTTATGATCCATGTGAAAAAGAATGGACAATGAGAAAAGAAACGAGAAGAGATCAAACCATTTCAGAGACTACGGACAGCAGCCATTGCACATAGATGGAAAATAAGTGTGCAGAGGACATACCCACTCTAAGAAATGCACAAAGACTGAACATAAAGAGACAAGTATATGCATACTCATTTGCATTAGATATATTGTTGTCAAGTGGATGCATTGCACACATGTGGATAAAGGATGTCCACACTGAGAAAATGAAAACCACACACACACACACACACACTCACTATATTGTCTATTGATTGCTGATTGTTTGAGTTATCAAAGCTAAAACAAAATGCTAACATCACTGTTACACATTGTGAAGAGAAAAAAAACAAACAAACAAAAAAAAAAACGAAGTTTTGACAAAAACAAATGCATGATGGAGACTTGGCTATTGCCTATACTGGTTTACTTTGAGATGTAACCTTTAAAACTGCTGTTTGTGTATGTATTATTCTTATTATCGGTATCAGTCAGTGCGTTAGGTTATGTTGTATGTGTTCCATGTTGAAACGTCAGGTTGAAGATAATTCTATGATCAATATTGGACGTTCCCGTTGGAGGTGATGGTTCTTGATTACCTCTCTCAAACCCAAATATTTAAAAAAAAAAACAAATAATAATTCTTAACACAAACTATGATAAGTCTGCTCAAGTGAAGTAGAGCTGTAACCAGTGTGCATGAGGTGTCATTCCTATGACGGGTAAGACTTCTCCGATGGCCATAGGGGGGCAACCTAAGCCAGGGTGGCACCGCCACTGGGCACCTGCCCACCAGGAAAGGGAGGTGTTATTTAGGAAAAGGGAGTGGATGTGATGCTACTTGTGGCCAAGAGCATCAAAGGGGGGAATCTGTAAGAAATTACAGTCTGCTCCGATCAAGCTTCCACTCCAATATAGATTATATTGAAATATTCCTTCACTTGAAAGAGCTTATTTATCATAGAATCAATTCCTTACAATCTTAAACGTATCACAGAGTCACGTTTGTAGAGTGGGAAAGACAGTGGGTATTCAAGAACCATCTTGATTAGGGAGTTTCTGAGAGATATTATCACCTTTAAACATTTGACCGTATCACTCTAACACTTGTATCGTTCCCTTCGATTTACATTTAAAGACAGAGTTTGGAATAACAAAGACATAGACACGGAGGCACCACTTGTCTCGTTCTCTTCAATTTACATTTAAAGACAGAGTTTCAGCTCCACGCTGATAGAGAAGACGAATCTGTTTGTCTTGATTTACATTTAAGAGAAAGCTTAATTTACATGCTGAGGGGGAAAACAGATGTAATACTGTATAAAATGTTTGCGCTGGGATGAGTTCGAGGTTCATTCTGACGCCGGTGAACCCAAGGTGCTTCGTGTGCCTTGCCACTGCTATGCTGTAAATAAACTTCATTTTTGAGATCTTCGACGTCCACATCATTTTTTCTTACAGTCTTTATTTGTGATCAAATAAATACAGGCTTGAAGACCTCTTTCCAAAATATAAAAAATAGTTGTTTCTCAAATGTTGATCGGTACGGTGTGTGTATATCTTATTATTACTCAGTAACAAGCAAATGATTTTTGAAAAATCCTCTGTTGAAAAGAATTCTAAGTGATAACATTCAGGTAATCTATATAATAAGATGATTTAAAGATTTGTAAAAGAAGAAAATTGCATTATTTCTGCAAACACACAGATCCTTCATTGATTTAAAGAAAGAGTATAAAAGAGATTGCGAGAAAAATTTGGTAATTTTTACTGTTTATGATTCTCTTATTTGTTGCTGTTTGTGTTGTATCTTCCAGAAGCTCCAGTTTCCTCCACTGTATCTCCTCCACACTCCTCCTCCAGCCCAACACCTGCCCACTCCTCTCAACCACACCGGCGTTATGCTTTAATAACTGCGGTCATCTTCATCATCATCATCATCATCATCTGTATCATCTGCTTCTGTAGATGGAGGAGGGCAAGTATTACTTACATTTATTCTTTTATTTATGGATTTGAGCATTACTGCAGTTCTAATAATCTGAGTCTACATTCACCAAAATCTTTCGGCTAGAAGTTTATTAGCTCTTAAAAATGCTTCTGCTTTTACATCTCATACATTTTTCCTCTAATAGAATAACTCAAACATTTGAACACTAAAAGCAGCAGCTGAACCCAGAACAGTTTAGATGTCGCCCTCAGGACTTCTGTATAAAGACTGACTCAAACGATCTGATCATCTGGAACTTCTTAAAAGTTTCAAATTTAAAAGTTTATCAAATGTACGCCTGGTTTTTACTTAAAAAGGGGGATACCAGGGGTTCATTATTAATAAACATTTATAATTGTGTTATGTTATGAAAATGTTTACATCGATTTGTCTATATTCAAGTTGTGTATATTTAGTTGACTGTGTTTAACACAAAAGAGGTATTGAAATTCTATACATTTTTGTTTTAAACTGCCGATCCAAACCCTGAATTTTTGGTGTCAGTTTTGAAAAAAATTATTGATGGATTTCTATTAAAAAGGTACGGCTCTTGACCATTGAAATTGGGTGAAATTTAAAAATTAGCAAGCATTAAGCAAGCAGGCAAGTAAAGCTGCCGTGAGCTCTCTCTCTCTCACACACACACTCACACACACACACACCTGAGCAGGTTTGCTGTGGCTGGTAAAGCTGCCGTGAGCTTTTGAGATTGTAAATATAATATCCCTAAAACTGAAGATTGATTCTTATAAATGCATGAGATCAAGTTAATGTGCCCGTCTTCAGTGGGTTTCTTGTTTTATGTAATATCTAGTCATCGAGGGAAACAAGATACATTTCTACTTTCATTCATCAATATTTATTCTTCAGACATTCCTCTTTAAATGCAAGTATCAGAAGTGTGTAAAGTGAACCACATTTGAACATGGAGCTGCTTCAAGATCTCCATATCTCTGGCATTGAACTATAATGAAGATACCAAAAGAAAAGTTTAATAACCTGAATCTAATGATATTAAGAAATCTTTATTGCTTATTGAGTTACAGTTACTTGAGTTAAAACAGTAATAATTTTTGCTGTGATGCCAAAATTGTGAAATTTGCCTGCTTGTACCGCTTGCTGAATGTTGGTACTGTGGATGTGAGCTGATCTATTTTTTTATATTATTTATGGGAGGTTTAATAACAGCCAGCTTCAATGTTTTAATAGATAAAGGGTCTAACTCTTTTGATGTATTTCATTTTCAAAATTTTCAAAATTGTTTGTCATAAAACAACATCTCAGGAAATATGTGGTTTCTGCGACTGTGTTACGCAAAAGTTCATTGAGTTCATTGAACAGATCAGGACCAAAGTCATGTTCATTAGGCATTCTGGGACACATTCAGTGAACATGGAAAGTAAATATATATCAATATTCTACGGAAATTTTCCCCAATTTATTTTTTCTCTCATTATTACACTTCTTTCATTACATATTGACCGAAGAACACATTAATACTCAAATTATATAGAGACATTGTGCTGAATGGCACTACATGTATGGCTTTTTTACCCAAAAAAAGCCGAAAACACACGGCTCTTAACACCGCACTACACAGTTGATGTGCCTATATGTGTCAAAAATACACGGTAAAGTGTTGCACATTTATTTTCACAAAGGCAAAAACGTGAAAAATCCTTGAAATTTCTTTCAGCCAATACTTCCTGGAACTTTCTGACTCCAATAGCTTTGGGATCTTACATGTCTTAAATCCGTATAATATCTTCCTTGGATCTTAGATCAACATATAAGGTAACTTCAAGTAAAATATATAGGCTAAAAGGACAAATTTGAGTAAATGCAGTAGGCTGTAGGAAACTTCAAATCATTTTAAAACAGAAATAAGCGGAGGATTATAAATTCACGGCATATTAAATTGTCTCACACATCGCACTCGGGACTTCCATCACTAAGTAGGCCTATTGCTGAAATGTAGAAATTAAGCTTTGACTTCACAACCTTTATATTTGATTTGGTTTACACTTGTGTTTTTCCTCTAAGCTCAGTTTTCTGTTGTTTTCTTCACAGATCACGTGTGTTCAAAAGAAAGAATTGGGATTTGCAGTGATTGTGTGCCCTGAACTTGAACTGTTGAACTCGCCTTGAACTGTTGTGGAGAAAACACCGAAGATCTGCTCACAGAAACCAGCCTTAAACCACTATATTGCACATCCGATCATATTTAGTAGGCTAAGTGTGAACTACAAAAAAAGAAAAATCACATGAAATATGATTTTACAAATCTGTTTCCAGCTTTCTTGTGCTTTGAAATCATTTTCCAGTCTCGTATTTTGTCACTTTCTGACGCCATAAAACGGTAATTTAATAACAAATGATCATTTCACCGGAAGTGAATCAATCAAAACTAACTTTAGCTGGAAAATAACATTGTTCAAGAACCGCTATAAAACCAAACCAATCTGTTACCTTACTGTAAATTTTAATCTTTGTAAAGCTGCTTTGAGACAAAAGCACTATAAATGAGGAGGACTTGACTTATGATCCACTGCCAGTTTATAATGAGTTTCTTTCTTCTGTTAAAGATATTATGAAGAATGTTTATGATCATGGACTCCATTGCCTTTAGTAGGCCTATTTAGTCAATGAGGTCCGTCCATCCTTCAAAATATCTATTTTTGTGTTCAAGAGAAGAAACTCATACAGGTTTGGAACAACTTGAGATTGAGTAATGATGTCAACCACAGTTTCTCCTTTTTCATTTTTCGTCATACTGGTAGGCCTAAAGGTCAGTTCAAACCGCACTGTGTGTGTGTGTGTGTGTGTGTGTGTGTGTGTGTGTGTGTATAAACATGTTTTGTTTTTTGATTGCCCTTACATACACGTTTAAGAACATAAAAATACTTAAAAACAACTGCATCGCGGTCTTTTGACGAATTGAGCAATATATCATGTACAAACAACATGGCAACCAACAAATATATAATGACAGTTATAGAAAAAGAAAAAGAAAATGCATTTTAAAAAGGAACGATTTATGGCAAAAAATTTGGTGTTGTTGTTGTTGTTTTTTTTCATTTTCACTTTTCATAATTTTTTGGGCATTTGTATAGGAAAGATATTCATTGTGAAAATTACATATTTGTATATAACATTTTCCCAGAATAAGCAATGTTATTAACAATAAAATCGTCTTTGTTTCAGTTTGAGTCCATAAATAAATAAGTAACTGTTGAGTAAAGCCAGTCATGAATATATCAAACCAACCATAAAGCCTAAAAATAGTCCATAGCCTATTTCAAAATGCAGAACTGCTTTGAGTGCTTTCCATCACAAAAAACTACTGCCTCCATTACAAATCTTCGTTGTACAGATGAACTGGATGGATATACACCATGTAAATGTAGCTTTGGGAGTTAATGGGAATTTTACACAATTTGTTCACAACCTGTTAATTTTTGTGTAGCCTACTTATTTTTTTTATTTATTTTTAAACTCTGTGAAATCACATTTCTATAGACCACCGGAAGATGTTTTCAAACACATTTCTGATAAATTTGTTTGGAGTTTTAGTTTCTTTAAAAATCGCAATCTTAATAGTAGGCTAATAGGGATTTAAAATGTGTTTTTTAAAATGTTCACAATATCTAGCCTACAACCCCCCATATTTGTTAACAACTAAGGGATAATATGTGCATGCATGGTGATATTCTTGCTGATACATTCTTTTAAAAAAACTGTTAAACAGGAGAAATAAAGTCATACACAGATAAAGATAAAGTCAAATAAAATCATATTTGAGAACTACCAACATGATATATGATAGGGATACACACACAAAAATATAAAACTGTATATTAGACTAAAAAGAATTTAATGTAGCATATAGGCTATACTTTCATAACGCTGAAGTAAAATTCGTTTCATGCTTGTTCATAAACTTTGGGATGCCATACAATCTTGTCATTGTTTTTAATTAGAACTTTGTTTTTCTAGGCCTAATAGGCCTATTTGGAATAATGTGACATCTTAAAAATGGAGAATGTTATATATACTGTTATATAAAGTTATATATGTTATATAATGTTATCGGAGCGTATGGTTTATTGAACTGTGTATTATTGCCACACACATCATTATACTCGTGCACGTTCAGCAGCTCGCGCGCATTAAGTGCGGGAGCCGTTATTGCGGCGCTGTCGCGCTGATGATAAAATGTGCAGCCCATTTTAATTCTGTTGTTGAGAATCAATTTACCACTAAAAAATGTTAGAAAGAAACAGACACATAAACTAAAAAGACTGATGAAAAGAGGGGAAAACTGTTAACTTCCCCTAAAAATCTCTACCCAGTGACAAGAACACCAAAAGAGAAAGAAAGCGCTTTTCTTCCTGTTTTCTGCTTGTGGTCCGGTGACCAGGAGAAAGGAGATCGAGGAGAAGGTGCTGTCTCTACTCTGTGTCTCTATCTACTGTGGTAGATTATATGCCAATAGGCCTACCGGAGCGAGAAGATGGACATTTCCACAACTCTAACACATTCACCCAAAACTCTTGACTTGAACGCATTTGTAACAGATCGAGAAATGCAGAAGAATACAGGTGAGTCATTCGGGGTTTCCATAGCTTGTTTCAATCTATTCAAACTTTTCACAAAATTGTAGCTACTAGCCTACTAAATGCATAGACTAATGAATAATGCAAAGATTAACCGATTTGCTCTTGTTGGATTGAATTCTTTATTTTATTTATTTATACATTTATTTGACAGGGACAGTGTACATGCGGGCTTGAGACGAAGAACCATACAAGTCCATTCTTTCAAATTTTGAATAATAACGTTTTTTCAATTTGGACTCTGAATATTATTATTTTTTTTAATTAAACTCAATTATTGACATTGCTGCAAATGCACCAGAATTAGCCAAAATGCTATTTTTCATCTGTTGTCCGTGGACAGATCTTAAAATTGTCTATCTAAAAATAAAAAAATAAAACAACAATAAAAGATTACAATGAACAATACAAATATAAAAAGCAGTAAAACAGATATAATTCTTTAATCTAGATAAATATGCACGTTTGCTAATAGACATTGTTAAAAAGTGATCATTCATAAAAATTAGTCTACACATTGACACAGCATAATCACGAGTGGCAGCAGTACAGTTGGGAAAATGCTGACATGTCTGATGTGTTATGAACCAGTTTTTCTGGGCACTCTGACTAAATGCACTTATTGAGAAACAAGGTCTCCTCGGGCGACCCTCGTGTTACGTGTGGTGTTCTGATTTTTTGTAATTTTCAATGAACCAAATTACTCGCATAGGTCACAAGAAAGCGTACCTATTGCGTAAGCTAGCTTACGCTACAGGAAAATCCCTTTTCTGAGAAAGAGAATACTGAAGCCAAAACATGATCCTTAATTTTACATTAATTTAAAACGCGTTGCTGCACAGGTTAGACCTGCAACTGCTGCAACGCAACCTATCGTGGGACTGTAGGCTACTGTACATGTGACGTAACTTAAGCACCAATGAGGGCTTCGATCGATCGTTCCTCCCCAATGAGTGGCCATGCAAGGGTTTTGTAAACGCTCGGCTGCAACATATACTTTGCGCGTGGAGGGGGACCTGCCCTCGTCCAGAGAAGCCCTTGTAAAGAGAGAATCTCCGTTACGCCACAGCGCTGTGGGTCTAGGTTTTTTGGCGAGCACCACCCGGAAAACACTGACCACTTTGAAGCATAGAGCCGAGTAAAGGGCGCTCTAGCATCTGTAATTGTACTTAACACTCCTAATGGAAGATCAGGTACCCGTTGATATGGCCCATAAGTCGGGGCGCGGGTGCTAAATCGCCCCATGGCCTTAGATATTAGATCCGTCCTCACTGGGATAGGCCAGCTGTGGCCTAGCCTAGAAATCTAGACGCACCCTAGCGGCAGCAAAATTATTTTGCAGCAAAGTGTGGTCTAGCAACTCTCCATAGACGTTTTAGCTGGAAAAACTCAACTCTGGTAGGGCCAATCACATCGTGTATAGAGTCGGCGGGCGGGCTTAACAAAGTGACGACAGAGTTGCGACGATCAGAGCAAGCTCGGACATATTCGGGTTTAAGTCGTTCATCCTCGGATGCGGCCGACGCCGCGCGCGCTGTTTCAAAAAAGCTTTTGCTTGACGATCAACTTGTCATTTTGTCGTCGAGGACAAAGGCTTTATTCCGTGTCAACGCGCGCTCTGATCGGTTATGGTGCACGGACCTCTCCCGAATCATCTCCACCACTCCGAAGCACCACTAGGCCTACTCCGCCTCCGTTTCCCTCGTAAGCTGATATTAGTATTTAAACATTCTCTATGATGTTATTTTTTTAATGACACACTACTGTCTCTTTCTCTCTCACACACAAACACATACTGACATACTGTCTCTTTCTCTCTCACACATATGTAGGCTATAATTATAAACTCTTTAGACATTTAATGATTAGTGTTTTATTTTTAAAGTTTGTGGGTGGTGTAAAAAATTATTTTTTATTTTTTTATTATTATTGAAATAATTATACATTACAGGTAAAAGTTTTTTTTTTTTTTTTTTTTTTTTTTTTTTTTAGTGCAAATGGTTTATTCATGCACATTTTTTTTAATTTTTTTTTTTTTTTTTTTTTTTTATTAAGAACAATCTTAATACAGACATTTATGTATACATCAAAATTAACATATAACATAGATATTACAAAGTCTTTCATACTGGGGGGTATTGTAAACTTATATAAAGATATTATAATATTTGCATATTTTCAATGTTTTAATTGCTTTTTGTTTCATAGAAAACCGGAGTGAATCAATATAAAGCTCAATTTCTTTTCTAAATAAAATAAAATTAGGTTTTTTTACAGGAGAATTTGCATTTATGAATATAAAATTTTGCCATTAATAAAATGAAATTAATTAAATAATTCTGATTGTGCTTAATTCTACTGTTCTCCCAATACCAAATAAAATATGTTTCCAAAACAACATAAATTGGTCATCAATGTTTTTTGTGATAAAATCACAGACACTTTGCCAAAATGGTTTTACAAATAGGCAATGCCAAAATAAGTGAACCGCAGTTTCAGGGCAGCTGTCACAAAATGTACAATTAACATCAA